TTGAAAATTATCTCGAGATACTTTTTTCCATTTCCTCGAGGTATTCATAATAATTGTTTAATACTTTTCTTCATGTACGTATGCATACCTTCGTATCATGTGAAAATTCGTTGAAAAACCATGATTTGTTTCAAAAGAGTTTATTACTATGAAGAATGCTCTTTACAGAACTATTCATTTAAGATAAGTTAAGCATTCTACTGCAGTTGTATTTGATTACTTTAAAACTTCGACAAAATAACTGCACGACAGATTTTACTTCAGATAGCCATAGTTTAGCGGGATGATTACAAAATAAAACTGGCCAGAAACTCGGTCCAGATTCTGTTATCTTTGGATTTTATTTGAAATTCAATGACAATTGAATTATAGTATGTCGAACTAAAGGTATTACAGGTAGTCTGAGTAACACCTGTACTCCTCTCCAATCAAAGAAACGAAAGTTATTGAAATAATTAATTGCGAACTTCTAGAATTTCAGCTGATGCAAATAATGAGAGAGTTGATGTAAACTTAGTATATATATATATATATATATATATATATATATATACTTATTCAGAATAAATAATATTGAGGCAGAAACTACCTTTCCAAGTGTCTGACGAAGACAGTCCAAACAGCCACCTTGCACATAACATTCGCAAAGGAGACAGTTGATACAGTCGAGCGTTAAGGACCAGATACCGCTTTTTTCCACCCAAATGTATATTTATCTGCTTACTTGTTCTTGTGGAGCAGAGTATATCGGCTGTAAATAGCGTCAAGTCCGCGAACTTAGTTTGGAACACTGTTCAACCTGGCTAGCCAGAAGAGAAAAGAATACCTGTAGTTCTGTTCTCAAACACTCTGGACATCGGGAAACCCTGAATGACTGCTACACAGTATCGCACGAAAACATTTCAAATACTCTATTTATACATAGCCGAATCACTGGCTTTCCCGCACCTGAATACAAGTTTTCAGGTTCAAAAGCACTACATACACTCACTTGTCACACTGTGGTCAGAGCAGCTTTTTCGTCATGATTTTATTGTTATTGTCACCATTATTTTATCATCCCTACTATCACTATTATTTATGCATAGCATCACATTTCGCACACAGATTTTATGTAAACACTACTGTATTTCCACTAGCTTTGTCCATTTACATTCACTAGTAACTTTTCAAGCTTATTACGTGATTCCAACATCCGTTTTTTTTACCACAGCTTATTAATTCCTTTCTAGATTACAACTCGAATTACGTAATTCATTTTCTAGAACAAAGTTACCAGAATTTGATTGGTTTTATGAATTCTTTGCTAAATATAAAGAATGACTGTGCAACTCTTGGAAATGACTTGTCGAAAAGAAAATCTTCCTCACTGTTACATCTTCTTTCGTTTGCGACTAACTACGCCCATTTCACATCCAGGTCTGATTTTCTACATTAACTTTCTGCATTCTTGTAAAACACTATATAAAAGCCCCTTGATAATTGGTTAAGTGGTCACGAAGACAATTCAAAACGAGTTTTCCAAGATGCTGCGCTCAAAAGCTTAGTTCACAAACATTGGACATTCAAACCAGCCATAGGCATGAATCTTCTTAATCAGAAGAGATATACTACGTTATTTATTGAATGATATTCGAAGTAAAAGCCTGACATCTGTTGTTATTAGAAGACCTAGCTGCAAGCTGACAAATTCTATAGATGAGGCATATTGTGGGTTTAGTTTAGACGACAATATTTTGAAATGAATATTATTTTATTATATAAAAGTGTTTCTGCGAATGAGATTACGTTTACAATATGAAGAAAAGGAGTAGACTTTACGCTGCTACTCATTTTACCACTAACGTAAGATAAAACGAGTGTTAACTTATTGAAAAAGTCAGATTGACACTAACTAAAGCTAGAAGCAATGTCTCATCGGATAGGAATTTTGAAAGCGTTTTTCCTGAACAGAAAATAATTTACAGTATATCTCGTAGCATTTATTCATCCTCTCGGCAACTCTTCAGAAAACATTCAGTGATGTTTTAGGTATGATGGAGCGGAACATTAGACTAAGCACACAACTTCCAGCTTTATGGGTTACAGATCTTAAGTTCACCACCTCAGTGTAGCCTATCATCGTAGGCTCTTACACATCAAGCTTAGCCCAAAGTCTAGCACGTAGGACTGTAAAAGTGGACAGCATTACAGGTTACGTTTTTCGAAGATATTAAACTATTCATTAAGAATAGCGTGTATTCAATGACAAGTTCAGCCTCCTACCTAAAATAATCTTGGCTCATACACTTTAGCCAATCGACCCCAATTCTCCTGCTCTAGCCTATTTGGTGTTATCACAGCCTAAAACATTGAAAATTTCTTTTGAATAATAGAGATCTAAGAGTTGCAGATCTTACTGGAGAATGGATAAAATAACAAAGCAAGATGTATTTCAAAAAACCTCTGTATACTGCGAGCTCTCGGTAATGTTAATCATGAGATAAAATTAGCTGAGAGGCCACCAGACACCAAGAACTACGACCATTTTAGTATTTAGATAGACATAACCAAGATACGACAAAGCATTACTATGTAGTCATTTAAGTTGTCAAGCCAGGGATAAGGTAACATAAGAAGGGACAAGTGGAAATCGTATAAACATTTGTTGTAGAATACGACAAATGAGGTAGACATGCGAAGTTATAAATACGATGAGGACCAGATGTGAATATAACTTGCGTCACTGAGTCATTCGATTTCTAATTTATAACTAGGTTTTAGGGAACATTTAGGTCTCAAACCAACATGCAATTCCTGAGTATAATTACAGCATATCTATTTTTTGTACAACTCGGTTGACTTAATGCACGACAGATTGTAGGAGAGTTAGAAGTGGTACTTAACAACCGTTTGCACTTGGATGCAACTAGTAATGAGCCACACCTCTTGTGAGAGGGATAATTATGCTGAGAACTCGGTAGCTGCGTTCGGATATGCGACCCAGTGGTTTCAGTTCGACGGCAAAGTCCAGTAAGCCTCATTTCTACATGCAGGAAACTTAATCAGGTATAAGTCAGTAACCACTTGCCGCAAACCTTCAGACTGACTCCTGATTAAACAGTACATATGGATTTTCTCTGTACTTCATGGTGTATAGCAACGACTACTCACTGGTAAAATAATTGTCCCCCACTATTATTAGATTCTTAACAGTTTCAAACCGGATAAGTAACAATTTAAGAATGGTAATTATGCTATCAGTAAGTTTTCTGACATAAATTGTGAAAAATGAGTTTCAGGTTAAATGTGAATTGATTTATTCGGAACGTTAACCTAAATAGGCTTAGGATATTATCATTCTGTGATGGAATGTAATTTCGCGTCTACCACACGCTATTATTTTCCTTTCTGTTTATAGCTTTTTCTCTTAGTAACCACCTCATATGTACTTTGTTTTAGTAGTCTGTCTTTTAATAAGTCATGCTATAGCCAGAAAAGGAAAATAATTTCACTTAGTGTCAGATCAGCGACCTTTAAATTGGGTTGAAGAGTAAGTTACTGTTTACTAAGCGTAGCCTACTAACCATTTTGCCCAGGAAAAGCTCTTTGTGAGAGCTAGCTATTTATAGCATCACCAATGCAAGTGGTTAACACAGTGAAGTTCTTTCAAATGTTAGACCAGAAGAGCGTAACTTGTGAGACCAGCTTTCCCGATCAAAGTAGGTGGTAAGGACTCAAAACTTGTAACGCAATGTCTCGAAATAATTCGCTGTATTCAACGAATCCTAAAATCACAGAGGAAATTCTTTAAAAATTTGAGTCCAAGTGTTACAAAGTTAAGCCAGGCGGAGAAATTAGCGCAGCAACTGACCACAATATAACTTGGATAACAAACAACCCCTAATTAACAAACGTACCAACTAGCTATCGAAAATGAACATACTACTGACCAAACGTAGCTTTAGTTAATAACAGGATACGATAACATTCACCTGATACGGATGGTACATCATGACAACACTTCAAGGTTTATGACTAGTTGTCAACAAAACTGCCCCACCACATACTAAGGCGTATTCTGTTAAAATGTACACCCTGACCCGCAGTAAAACCAACTATTCCTACTCAAAGTTGAGAGCAATAAGAGCGTTCCCATCGTCTCCAATCATCACTTAATAACCTTATGTAAGTGAAGAATGCTCACCTGAAAGGTCATTACGCCCTGTTATTCAAACTCAGAAATGGACATGATGTCAGTGTTAGTTCCATTATTATTAGCAACTGGTGAATATCGGAGCTGGTTTCCCTTGGATCATGGTTGTGTAATAGAAACTATAAAAATACAAGGTAATTAATAAGTCGCAAGACGGGGTTTCAAAATACACAAAACATTTCAATTTCACCAACAAATGCCATATTAATTTTGGCTAGAACAAACTTCACTATAAGAAGCTAAGTATCAGCGATATAGATGAGTAGGAGCAACTATCATAAGTTGATTAGGTGAACTCTGGGAATTGAACAAGGATGCAAGACTTAGTAACCATCATGGTGAAACCACACGAATACTGTTGACTCTTTTAGGAGCCCTAGGCCGATAAAGTGCAGTCCACCGTACAAGGACATCAGTGAGATGAATGAAAGGTGGTAATTAATAGTGCGGAACTGATTAGGTTCTAGAAATTATCACCGAGTTCCCAGCATCTATAACGAGATGCAATGGATCCTCATCACAGGAAGTTAATGTATATTTGAACAATGAAAAGCGCTGCCTAACTCCACACAAACTTGTATCAGTCTATGGCGCAGTAAGTTGATAGAATTTATTGCCAGTCTCACTGACATTTAGTGTGAGAGCTACGAATAAGTGCAAAACAGGCTCAAATGATACTAAAGGCATTTAATGCAACATTACCGTGCATAACATTTTCCGTTTCTACCAATAATGATGACAAAGTCAAATTGAATGGCTTCATGTTCTCCAAACTGTGAATGCTTTACAATGAGTGACAAGCCTAGAGCTGAGACATTTATTCAAAGTACTCGAGCTCCACCATCACACTGAAGTTATGACATATTAGGTGAGGAAATAATCAATTTTCGTATAACACAATGTCAGTCCAGTACATATATATTTACAATTTATATTATTCCAATTCTGTTAGCTACATCCAAAGCATCAAAATCTGGAGGTAGTTTAACGTAAGCTTTCTTGATATTGCCAGGACAGTTAAGCGTATTGACCTTGGCAACCTTGATGTTATAGAGTTCTTGAACAGCAGCTTTGATAGCTGGCTTGTTGGCTCGCCTGTCAACAATAAACACCAAGGTGTCATTGTCTTCAATCTTTTTCATTGCAGCTTCTGTTGTTACTGGATGCTGAATAATGCGGAAGGCATCAAGTCTAGACGGGAAATATGAAGCAGGAATGGATACTTACTTGTTACGTTTAGGAATCAAAAATCGCCTGTCCTTCGGGCACCGCGGTGGTTTATAGGTTTTTGGACGCCTGAACCTTGTGGTATACATCACTTTTTTCTTGCCCTTTGTGTGTGTACCAAGAGTTATAGCACGTTGCGCTTTGAGAGCCTTTTGGGCAGCTGCCGACTCTTAAGAAAGGAAGAGATGGCGTTTAGAACCAATTAGGAAAATGCAAATTTCTCAAATGATACGTAAAAAAAGTGTGGATAGAGTTCGCAAACAGCTTACTTTTGTTTCCAGGCTTAACAACCTTTCCGCCTTTAACGCCCTTCAGAGCACTGAGTGATTTTGAGGGTTTTTGTGCTTTCTTCGAAGCATTTTTATCATCCTTTGTCTTCTTAGACTGATCCTTCGTTTTCTTCTCCTGTTTTGCAGGTGCAGCCTTCGGAGCCATGCCTAATTTATTTGTGCCGCCCTGTGGCGGAGCCAACAGTTGTATTGACACATGTTCAATTAACGATATGACAGGAAATTGTTACAATCTTCCCACAGTAAAGATGCATTAATTAAAGTCTTCACATCAAATTATTGTTAATATTGGAAAAAATAAATTTGCTATCCAGAAAATTGAAACACAAAATGTATTTAGATGGATAGGCTTTAATCAAATCACTATTAGATCAAAAGAATTTTTGAGGAAGCTGAACAGCCCGTGTTAATCTTAGCAATATAAGATTCAGCTAGAAGATACAGCTGTTTCTTGGGAGTCACCACTGTGGAACCCAAAACCACTTGCCTCCTTAACATTTGTCATTTTTTGTAAAGGTTGTTGGTTTATTTCAGACTCCTCAGCCCTTCAGAAAACGGGATTATTAACATTGAAACCTTCGTCTATCGTGCAATGCCAAAAATCAAGTTTACTTCTTTTTCTGCCATGCGATAATAGGGAGCCCTCTAACAGCATTTTACAAAAGAGTTGTGACGCTACTACTACTACTACTCAGTCAGGATCATTTAGGTCTGATAGGCCGTTGTGACAGAATGCTGAAATTCCATTATGAATTATGCGAAATAATTCCTACCCTCTATTGCGCCATACATACCTACTATTTTAATTGTTCAAGTCTCATGCAGTGTCTCATCGGAAGACACAGACAGAGCACTATTTAACACGGCCGAAAACCCTTAACAAGATACTCTAGCCCACCCGATTGAGAGCATAGATCCAGTGAAACTGGGGGCACCCTAAGTTACACCTGATAGACGTTTTACAAGAATTAACCCTACAAACACTGAAGAGGAAACAGCAGGTAATTCTAGGACGGCGAAAAACCATCTGTATTCACTAGTAGATATGGTTTTGGCAGTGAGCCACAGAATAGTAATAACCTGAAGAAGGCCAACCTAGCTGACCCTTGAAGAAAAAACAGGCAGCCAAGTACTGATCTTGAGTTTGAGTTTAGCTGATCAAACTATCTCATCCTGCTTAACATACCAATGTGCCTCACCAGTCTACTCATACAAACAGGACATTTTGATCATGAACAGTACAACAAACTAAGGCTTATCATCCAGTCGGTAAAGATATGTAGACTGTACTAAGGCATCAGTAAGTAAACCGTGCCCATCAAAGGCAGCATTGAGCTCCATTGAAGAAGTTCAGAAAATGTTGTTTCTCTCCCAAGCCCATGGTGCGTTCTTCATCTGTTAACCAGCCCGTACTACTCACCTCCCATCTCTGGGGAGAAATTGGTTACAGTCCTCCAGTAATGTTGCGAGACCCAGGATAAGGCCAGTGGATATAATCGGTGCTGCAGACATCGACTTTGAACCCTAGGAAAGAAAAGAACTGGGGTTACAATGTGTCCTCATGCCTGGATTACACTACAATAGTGCAACTCTGAGACAACAGCAATGGGTTCAGACTGAACCTGAGGAAAAAAGGACCGATTCCATCAGAGCTAGGTTTGCTGGGTGCATCCGTCAACCACCATCCTACGAAGTAGAAGATAACCAGCTACTGAGGAGCACCATCGCGGTGATACCGAACACGACCTATCACCAAATCCTTACGATTGAAGACTACAGTGCTCCATCCCCTGACTCAGAAACGAGGAAATTAATTCGAAATATGCTGTACGCCAACAGAAATGAAGGATCGACTGAGAACGCAGGAGACAACAGTACGTGAGGCTCTGTTGGAAAGTTGTCGAAACTCGACTGTGTGCTAGCTAGTGATCAGTTACCAGTAAGTAAAGTTCGGATCAAGGCTTCTCTAGGGAGCACTGACCATGCAATCATAGTGTTTAATCCGGTTTTTTGGAGAGCTAACAGTGAGAGGTTACATGACCCTATCTGTGATGTAGCAAAATTGATGACATCAAAATGCGAAGGCTTTGTCCGACGCAAAGTGACCCACAGATTGAAATGGGCTACCAGTTGGGAGTTATAATAATAATAATAATTTATATTTTCATATAAACATAAATTTACATGAAAATGCAGGTAAAACGGATCATTCACCCAGCGATCACTAATAACGTCCTTCTGGTCACACTGGAACCTAAGAATCTATCCTTGTGGTTCAAGGTAGGTGGTCAGAGTATTCCGCGAGCCAAACGAGAATTTTGATCTATATGGCAACTCACCAAGATTCTGGCTGACCTGAAGCATACTTAGGGCTCAGGAGCCGATGAAGCATGAGGACCTGGAATGACAAAAGATCATTTCAGTTGGGCCTTGTTAGAAAACTCCTGGCAACTGCCCTAAGCCCATTCCGATTCATGTCGGAAAGAAAACCTACTAACCGGGAGTTACTCAGTTATGGGATCTTAGTGGTCAATATTTATTGGCTGAGACATTTAATTCTGCCTTCGGCAGGCAGCCAATTAACACTATACGTATTATTATTTTAGGCCACAAGGGTTGCAGCGCCAAATACCCAGGCGAGAACTTAGTGGATATACTTCCAATTAACCCCACGATGGTCCCAGCGAAGCCGCCATAACATTCCAGGACAATACCCAGTATGTGACGATATTCGGCCACCTGTCCTTAAGTAGTATGCGGAGGCTTTTCGCAGGCCCTTGCATGACATGTTTTAGTGAAACTACTAAAGGAGTGGGGAGAGCCATCCGTCCTCCTATCTCCCAGAATGGAGGTGGGAAGAACGCAATGAGTCGTAGGCTATTGCCACAACTTCTATTCGTATTGAAAGGGTTGGAAGGCCTAACTGATAGCCAAATCGGGCAACGCCTTAGGAGGAACAACACACCGTGGATCTAAACATGGTTTCAGCAGTGGTAGATCCTGCACAACAAGCCAACCATTAGCATGGAGCGGCTTGACATTACAGTGGGACATGAATGTTCCAATCCATATGATCTTCCTAGACGTTTTGGAGGTATCTGGCACTCTTCAACACTATCTTTTCCATCACAAAACAGTCCATGCTTGCACGACTAGCATGCGTCCCTCATGTCTGAGAACTATCCAGACAGAAGAGAATTCTCTACTGAAGTCAATAGTGTCCGATTGTTCTGGAAATGTGAGCTTAAATAAACCAACTTTTTTTACTAGCCCGTAGGAAAGCAGTGGATACCGGATACGGCTGTTTGGCGAATTGGTATTTGAATTCACATTTCTTATTTCTTTAGTACGCTTAGGATTACTAAACACCCCTTGTGTTGAGTTCGTTTCCAAACAGTGCTAAATACTAATTGTGAACATATAAAAATTCCGATTATGAAACTATAGTACATCCACGTTTTCATGTTCTACTATGTGCTAACGCTGTACACAGTCAATGGCGAACAACACTGTATTAAGAAGCACAGGTGAAAATTTGAAAAGATATATTGTTAACGAAATCAAATTTCAAAAACCTCGAGGTGAACGAAAAAGTGCATAACCGCATAACATATATGTATATAACAAGTGAAAAGCAATATTCAATAATACAATGGCAAATATTCAACAAGCATATAACATGCGTACATGAATTAGTTTTATAGGCGTACAGTTAGGCTTAATATGGAAGTGACAGATACTTACATTTATTAATATTTCTTTATATCATTTTAAGCTATGGCTACTGCTCCTGATTCACTAGCTTACCAACCAGTCCGATACCCGTTAAAAGGAAAGAGTGGTTGTAAGGCTTGCAACCCTACCCTGGAAAATTATTTCAATTGCTTCAGAAACTTTAAGGCACAACGAAGATGCAAAAAACCTACTCTTCGTTGAATTTGGAGAGACGGAATGGTGCGGGATAACCAAAATCTTCGGGAAGAAAATCAGCCAATCTATCTTCTTTCGATGAAAGCAAAAATAAGCCTGGGGACGCAGAATTTTTGCGCGATGTTCGAAGTTAAGAAGGCTGCTCAAACTGCAGAGGAAATGAGAAGATATGGCATATAAGCATGTATCTGTGATAGCAGATGGAGTGGAAGTGGACTTGCATGGGGTCAGCGAAGTTCGCCAACTCAATTGAACCTCAGTCGTTTAACTATCGGCGATCAATTTGTTCATCCATGCGGATTGAAACACATGGTGGCTGAAGTAACTTTTAAGAGACAAGAGCTCAGTGGTGGCGTTGTGTCTTGATTGTGTATCTATGTAACCTATTCCTGTCATCTCTATTAACTGTGCATTTGAGCAGTCATTAGAGTTATATTTTCGCTTCTCTAGTCAGGACGATGTTAAGAGCAGCCTAGTCATCAGGTTAGGTGGGCCGGGCTAAAGAGCCAGTAGGTAGTGCAGTTAGAACTTAGGTCCAGCTAGATAGGTGGCCACACAACAATCGTGAGAGTTACTTCTAGCTAAAGCCGGTCGGAAACCAGCTAGAAGTCGTTCAAGTAGGGTAACTAACCAGTTTCCTAGAGTCTATCCAAATTGTTAACCGGGGGGACAATAAAAGTTATACGTAGGTTACAATGTTTGCGCTCGATTTTATGATATGCAACTGATCAGTAACCCTTTTCGCTTATGCGAAAATTTTGTTTTAATCTACAAATGAAACTACATTGCTTATGGCAAACTTGTTCTAAATCAAGCTTCTTTTCGGTATTTCGTAAAACTGTTTGCTTCCCTGGTGTGAAGATTAATATTTAGATGTAATTAGTTACTGGTAGGGCAAAGTTAAACTTTCGACACCAATAACTACCAATCAGAAAGCGACCTTGAACTGACCAATCACATTAAAGAGCCGTTTATAATAAGTGGAAGCGTATATTTGTACAAAAATGCATAGAAAAAAGTATAAAACGGTTACAATGGGTATCTTTCTCTAACATGAGACAAAAACATTTCCCAGTTCAACATTGGACTGTCAATAGAGAAATCGCACCACATTCTATACATGTATTCGTCCAAATGACTGAAAATAATATCCTTTTGTGATCCATTTATAGCGCGGATCCTGTTTTTCAGTCTCCCCCAAAAACCTTCAATGGAATTTGTATGAGTCCCAGTGAAAGGATCGACGAAATCATTGGAGTGGTTGAC